AAAGACACATTTGAAGTCCACACTATTGTTGCTATTATTTCTTGAAAATCTTGACACATATGTTAAGATTTTAAAATTCATTTTAAAACATCATGTTAAAATTCATGATTTCAAAGTGTCAACTTTCAGAGGAGATGATGGAAAGTCAGTTAGTTTTTATCATGGTAGTCAGAGACAAAGCTTCACAAAATCCCTGCATCTTTCTCCTCAGGACATCAGAAGATGAAGACAGGAGAGTCATCTTTCCTCCTGGACCACATTTCTTTGACACTGCAAAAATGTTTCTTAGGTTCCTCCTATCTTCTTGCCACTAGGTGAGAAGCTGAAGAGAGTGGTTGTATACAACCATTTATGATGGACTCTGGGAGTTTGGCATGAGGTTGGTCCAGGAGGTTTTAGATCTCTGGCATTTATTTCTATGACCACCAGCATGAAAACTTCTTTCCTTGATTTGCCTGCACCAATAGAGGTTCTCTCAGGATGCCCTCAAGAAGCTTTGGGGTTTCTATCAAAGTTGTGGAGGACATGGCAAGAGCCCGTCCATGCTTACTTGCCAGGAGTCTCAGGTCAACAACAACAGTGGTATCCCTGGTCCATGTTAGGCCAGATTCAACTGGACTCACCATAGCAGGTGGTGTGTGTGGTGGTTATAATCAGGTGAACTTGTTTTGGGTGAATGACAAACCACCAAGAAGACATGTTTGTTAAGATCCTGTATGCATTCTTGCCCTTTCTATCTTTAGATGAAGGACTGGCCAATGGCTCCCACCCTGAGAGGAACCCACAAAATCCAATTGCCTTCCTCCAGTTTCCCACCCCTACCACGTGTGGTAAAATCCCCCAGAACCATCAGCAACCAAGCTCTCACTCTGACAGCTCAAGGTGTGTCCCTGTACATTTCTCTCTCCTTGTCAGCAGGTGTCTTATTGGAGCTCAGGTCCTGATGTGAGAGAAAGCTTTGGAGGATGAAAAAGCATAGGGTCATCACCAGGTGCTGACACCTCCAGAGTGACTTGTAAGCTCTCGGTGAAGGATGGTCTGATTACAAAAAAGAAACCTGAGCACTGCTGTTCAAAAGTGGACAAAGCGTTCCAGAATATTCTGTGGCTTTCTTTAAGATTTGCCTTTATCACAAAGTCTGGTTTCGCTCACTCAAGCAATTGCATCATCAGAGTATTATTTTGATCTTTACTCCCAGAGGAGGCTTTTGTTTAAGAATCAGGATTTATATGATTGGACAGCTCTCTTGAAGTTGAGTAAATAATTCTGTATATCTGGCATCTTGAACAATCACAGCTTTGGGGTCAAGGTTGGAATTTTATAAATATAATCAGAAGCTGGCATTTCCAACATGTGTTTTGAGACTTCATATATGAGGGAGCTGAGGTGAACAAAATAATCACCATAGAATTGATCCAAAATGTTAGTAGCCTTTTCAAAGAAATAGGAGAAAACTTGAACACCTTCTAAAATTTAACTATGATTTTCAACTTTTGCTAGGGAAATTAGAGGTCAAGACCTGGACTTGGAGAACCCATAATATATCTAGAAAAGAGCCTTTGATGACTCTGTGTAGATCATATGCTGAGAAAAAGATCCAAATCAATCTACCTTCCCTTAACTTCTAGGCTAAGAAAACTGGGTTCCACAGACACAAGTCAGAGTTTTAGTGCTGAGGAAGAAAGAACAAAAATAAAGAATCCCTTTTTCTCCATGGGCTATTTTTAAGAGCAGATGAACCAGTTTCAGGCTGATGGGTGTGCAGGTCTGTGAGCAGTGAAGGAGAGGGCCAGAAGTTGCCACCCCTGGGAAGCTCCTCCAGCTACCCCATTCTGTGATTCACCAGGAGAGAAAACTGTGCTCCAACCAACCATGTGGTCTTCCCTTAGTGCTGTCACCCATGACCTTTCTTCCCAATGCCAACAGATAGTGATTCCTAACATAAGGCATTAGGTTTCACTCAATTTCAAGTGTTCTTGCTCTTTGAAAAAAAAAAAAAATACTATCATTAAAGAGGATCCACTGTCAACTCTCCTCTTATTCTGAATACCCAACCTCTTTTGAGAAAAACTAAGTTGTTTTCATGAAAGGTAAGTCGGGAAGGGGGGCAGTGAAGCCTCCAAAAGAACACATTTAATTCCTACTATAATAACCAGCTCCGGGAAATGGCACTGAGGTGAAAAAGTTCATAAACTGGGGACTTAGCCATAGGAGTCCAGCTTCATATGCTGTAAGGTAATTAAGTCATTCTTTCCTGTTTATGGAGGGCAGCAGCGTGTAAATAAACAGACCCTTTTCTCTTTCTCTCCTCTGCAAGGAGGTCTCTGAATTAGTGTCACGGATTCCTCCTCCTTCTCTGGTGTGGGAAATGAATAGATTACAGTAGGAACTATCTGCACGATAATGACCCACTGTATAATAACGAAATCTGATAACAAGAGAAAATCTAATGCTTTAAATATCTAACTTTTCATATCAGTGCCTTTTTTTTCTTTTCCTAAATGACCCTCAAAGGGAGTGAATTTCCCTAGAAACATAAGAAAATGTTTCTTGTTATTGTCAAAAATTAAAAAAGGATTTTTTCTTCTCATTTCTATTTCAACAAGAAAAGGAAGGCACCCGCCATTGTTTCTCTACTATGCACCTCCCTTCCTTTATGTCCTACAAGGTTATTGAAGCATTCCTTCAGCATCAGGGTATCTGGTTTCTCATGGGGATGCAGCTGGCCACAGCAGAGACCCACAGAGAGAAGGTTGTCATGCAGGGAAATTAGACCAGGACAAAGAAAATGCTCACCACACAATGACAGGTAATAGAATTCCGAGCCAAAGTCCTTTCATCTGAGCCACTATGACTAGTCCATTACTTCTTCAATGTCCTATGACATTTTCCTGGTATTTAGGACTGTCAACCTTCCTCTTACTTCCTGCACATTTACCTTGACGTATTTCTTATCTGAAGGGGAAAAAGCATTTGCAACTCCAAGGAGGACTCTCTTCTTAAAGAGTGACACTGGGTGACCAGGGGAGGGAGTGGGGATGGTTTGACCTCTTGGCATCAAAATAAAGCCAGGCTGACGAATATCCCTAAGTCACTAGAAGTAGCTCAGCCTGCCCCACGCCCTGTCATGAGTCATCTATGATGGGTCAGAAGAATAATTTCCCTCTGTCCCTAGTCATTTGATCTTATAAAAGTTGGACATTCATAAATGTTTTAGAATTTGGTAAGGTGAGCCAAGAACTCTATAAGCAAGTGATAGAAAACAGAGTGCTCTCTCCTTAGGCTCTGATTTTTTTTTTCCTTTAAATAGGGATGCTGAAAGGTCAGTCTGTTCCCAGTCATGCAGAAGAGTGAATGAGAGGGGAAGATAGAGTTTAAAAAGAGGGCTCCTCAGATGACCAGGGTCACTTCTCATTAAGGGGCTTCCACAACAATCCTAGGAAAGGGTGACATTGACATAAAGAAGCCATCAAGTAGCATCCAGTGAGATGACATTCACATTCTGCTGTGGAGGATCAGGAAGGCTGCCACTACCTTGGGGAGGCTCTGTGAGGAGTGTGGGCACAGCCTCTGGGGAGGGTGTGAGTGCCTTGCCTTCTGTGGAAATGTGGGCTTTATCATGCAAAGATTGCAGAGCCAACAGCTCTGTGAGGAGAAAAATCAAGCTTCAACTTCCTGTTCTACCTCTTTAAAGGTCATGTGACCGCTAGCCTCAGGTTCTTCAGGTCCTTGAAAAAGAGAAAAAAAAAAACAAACCCATAGCTCTTCACTTTGTTAGGAACATAAAATAACGCAGCTACCCGCAGCTAAAGTCTTTAACTCAGTGCTTGACATGTTGTAAATACTCAAAAACGAGAAGCCATTCTTACTAATACTAATGAACGTAAGATGCTCCATAGCCAATTATAAACTCAGTTATGTTGCAAAGGACCAAGAATATGAACTAACAACAAAAGAAAAAGAATGAAGACTAAAAAACCCCCAAGAGGTAAGAGGTTTGTTTAAAAGTCCTTTGTCCCTCAAAAGTTTAAGGGCCTGTCATACAATTTCTTTGAGACCCAAGAGGTCACTTTCTGAGCCAGGAAGGCACCTGGAATCCATCCTTCTAAGATCCTGTGTTCACCATCCAATCATAGACCATTTCTTTAAAAAAAAAAAAAAAAAAAAGAAAGAAAGAAAAAAGAAGAAGAAGGAGGAGTAGGAAGTTGAATCACATACATAGCCAGTTGATTCAATAAAAGGTTTTGGTGAGTGTTCATTCCAGGATAATAAACCAAGCAAAACGTCTGGCTGTGTTTAAAATCAACAAAACCAGCAGGAAAAGCAGAGAGAGGGGAACCAAGTGATCAGCTTGTTTTTAAAGCTGCTAACAGTGCTGCTTTAGCAGGGGCTGGGGAGAGAGCCCCAAGAGAGGAGAAAGGAGACAAATGCAGACAGGACTGAAGCTGAGGACAAGGAGGGAGGGATGCAGATGTGGCTTGGAGCCTGTGGAGAGATTTCCTGGGATTCCAGGCCTCTTTGGGGGCCTCTTGGGATAGTGGAAATGGGGGGCTCGGAGCTGAGCCTGAGCCCCTCATTTAGGTAATGAACTTGAAAAATAATGGTTACATGTTTTGAGCATTCCACTGTGAGCCAGGCTGTGCCAAGTTTTCTACATATACTGTTCTCATTTTACGCATGACGAAACTGAGGTTCAGAGAGGTGACGGCACTTGATCATAGCTGCTTAGTGGCTCCGTTGACTCATCTGAGCACAGAGCTGTACTGCATTTAGCTTAGAAAGGGCAAAACTGGCTAACTGGGACCTGGGAAATGCAAATTGGGAAGAATGAATTGGAAAATGCCAAATGGTGAGTTTAAATCTACCTGATGTCTAGGAAAAGCCAGTAATAATGTCACCAGATGAAAGGACTTTCGGCCCCTCCCCACATGCAATGGGGCCCAGGCCGGCCCTGAGTGCCCTGCAGAGCAGACAAGGTGCCCTGGGACTTGCAGCCCTACCGATGGTGCAGTGCTCGCCGTTCCAGCCAGGGCTGCACTCGCACTTGCCATCGCGGCAGGTCCCATGCTCAGTGCAGCGCGGGTGGCAGGCCCGTTGATCGCATGCTGCCCCCATCCAGCCATCCTCACAGCGGCAGGTGCCTCCCACGCAGACGCCATGGCCTCCAGTCAGCAGCACAGATCTCTGTGTAGGCAGAAGGAAGAGGGAGGACAGGGGAGGAAGGGTAGAGAACAGAACAAATACTGAGTGAGTTCTTGCTGGGAACGAGGGTCACACTTGGCTTTCTACCTAGGCTCTGTGAGTGATTGCAGAGGCTTGCGAGAGATTATCTGGGAGGACAAGGACCCTGGGGATAAAAACAGTTCCCTGGGCAGAAGCCTGCTCTGTGCCTGCTTCCCCACCCAAACGGGCGCACCGCAGGGATCTGCTCTATTTGTTTTTTCCTGTTGCCAGTCTGTCTCTGCTTTTGTGCTTGTCACTTCCAAAAGGGACTGGCCTTCTGAATAGATGTGAGAAAAAGTCAACTTTAATTAAAAACCGGTTATGTGTGGAAACAAAGTGAGGATGAGTCCCCATCGCCAAGTGAAGCACTGTGGGTTTGGCTGGAGTCACGGGAAGAGGTCTGGGCCTGCTTCACTACACCCTTACTCTAAGGAAAGTGGTGTGAAAGGGAGGCTGGGCCCCTGTCCCATGGGTACACTATGGCTTGTTGTCCAAAACCCACAGTTTGTCCTGTGCTTTTGCTGAGTTTATTCTCTGTTTCCAGCTCACTGCTTCCTCCCCCTCACTCCAAGCACCATCTACATAGGCTTTCAGATCCAAAGCAAACAGCCAGGGGCCACTTCATGGCCAGAGTGGAGTTGCTGGGCTCTTCACAAAGGCCAGTCTGTGGCACGGTGCAAAACACACAGGGCCTCATTCAGAAGCCCCCTGGGCTCCAGGCCAGCAGCTGCTTCAGCTTATTGTAGGTGGAGGTGGTGAAGGCTTCCAGAACACGACTATTCTTTAGGAAACAGGCTGAATACCCGTGTCCTGGGTCCTCTCTGCCAGAGCTCTGATGGAGACCTGGACTTGACTCATGACTCGTGGCCCAACAGTATTGAAATTCATGTGAAAATCCCAACACTTCACATTTCTTTTCAACTGGGTTAACTGGCACCTGTGTGAAGTCGCCTTTGCCCAGGACGTCCTTCTAAGCCACACTACTGGTCTGGAGGCTGCTAATACTCTAGCTACTTCTTAAAAAGGAAAGAAAACAAAATTAGATCTTGGGCTCAGACCTTCCTTACCAACCTGGAAGGCAATGGATGCAATGTTTGCAAATTAAAAATATAATTGGTAAGAGCTGCTATTCGCATTGTGCCCCTGAACGCCCTGCCTCCTTGCAGAAGGGAGATGTTTCTAAGAGGCACTAACCCATTGCACGTCTGAGACAGCTCTGACCTGGAGATGGGGGCCTGAGTTTTATACCAGGCTCGGAGCTGCTGCACCTGCACCGTGTGACTGTGGGCAGGTCCCTTGACTTCGCTGAGCCACACACAGTTCCTGGGTGTGGCAGTACGATGGTGCTGCATGGCCACCCTCTGCTGACCTAGTGGAGTTGTAGCAAGTGCTTAGGGAGGTGGACGATTCAGGAGGCCATGGCAAAGGTCAAGTAACTCAAGAAAGTGTTCCTGAAATTGAAGGCAGGACAGTGAGCTTTAAACTGGAGGGTTGTGATGTCCATGGCTGCTCAGCCACCAATTTGTTGTGTGATCTTGGGAAGGTCACTTCCTCTTTGGGTATCTGTTTCCTCTTCTATTTCAGGGGAACTGATGGTGTTTAATGTCCCGCCTCCTCCAAGTCTCCTGTGATGCATCTTGTGGTTATTCTCTTGTTCCTTCTCATCCCATATGCTACAGTGCTTTTCTATCTCTGTGCCTGTCTCACTGTCAGACCAGGAATAACCTGGGACTCGGTCTCCTCCCTCTGATCACCTCTGATCAACTGTGCTGGTGTCCTAGACAAGTCTTGGCATAGAGCAGATTCTAAGTAAGGCTTGTTAAGTAATGAATGAATCAGGGTGCCCAGGGTGACAGGTACCTGAGGATAAAACACAATTCACATACATGCTGCTTAGCCTGGCTGGAAGTCCAGCAGCCCTATCTGACCACTTCTCCCTATAGACCTGTCGGTATGGAAATGCCCCACATGCAGGTGGGGCTGTGGATGAATGGAGCTCAGTGTTACTACGTCCAGCAGCCGTCCAGGATGCTGTTCAAGTTCCCCGTGGACAGCATCTTGGGCTTTCCTAAAGAGAACAGATGACAGCCTGCAGGCCCCGGCCCTCCTAGGTCCTGTCTCTGGCACCCCTATCTCTTCTGCACACACTGAAAGGGCAGTGACCTTCTGGTGATTCTGGAAGCTGGGCCTGGGCTCTGCCTGGAGCTTTCTCCAAGAATCCCAGGAGAGATCGGCTTAGTGTTTGAGTTTCCCCAGCACTTTTTCCAAGTGGCAGTTGATGGTGTGAAAGCAAACAGCAAACAGCACTTCTATTCACTGTGCCATGAACCAGAAAAGGGACAGGCAGCTGGGGCCAAAGATGCAGTGTACTTGGAGTCCAAAATGTGCTAAGATCAGAAGAAGCAGGCTTTGTGCTGCACTTACCTGTGGGAATTCAGCTCTTAGCTAACAGGTACAGTCATCCCATGTCCCTCAGTGTCTGAGGGGGACTGGTTCCAAGACTACTCCCTAAGAATACCAAAATCCATGGATGGTCAAGTGCCTTATATAAAATGATATACCATGTGCATTTAACTGATACCCATCTTCCTGTGCACTTTAAATCATCTCTAGATTAATTAGCACACCTAATACTGTGTACATGCTAGGCAGGCAGTTGTTATACTGTATCGTTTAGGGAATAATGACAAGAAAAAAGTCTGTATGTGCTAAGTACAGATGGAAAAATTTGAATATTTTCAATCTGCAGTCATTCGAGTCCACAGATGTGGAGCCCATGGATATGGAAGACTGACTTCACTTCATTTCTTTATTAATTAGTCTGGTCACAGCATGGAAAAGATGAGGGCAAGTCCTGGAATCAGATGTAATTCGAAATCTCAGCTGTGTGGCCCAGCCAATTGCTCTAAGCTTCCTTTTCTTCCTCTGTACAATAGGATGATGGCAGCACCCACTTCATTGGGTTCTCAGTGCCTGATCTATAGCATCAAAAAATTCCTACTGACTCACTTATCTGGTCATCCTCCACAGGCATCTACTGTGTGCCAGAGACTATACCTGATACAAGAAATACAGAGGTCAATAAGACACAATATCTGGGCCCCCAAGAGATCATAGTCCAAATAAAACAGAAACTGATACTGGCATTCCCAAAGATTATTCAGATAACCTATAGGCATTATTCATGTGTGCGTCTTTTTGCTATGTGCAATGGATTAAAACCATGGCTCTTAAGACCTGACAGATCTGGAATCTACTCATAGTTTTGCCACTTATTAGCTGAATAACCTGCAAGTTAAACATTATGCAATCTATTGAGCCTTGCTTTCCATTTCTGTAAAATGGGAATAATAATTCTCACTTCACCAGTCTCACAGGCCTGGCATTAGACCAAATGAGGTAATGTGTGGGAAAGACAGTTTTGTTTTAATATTTGTATAGATTTCACAGTATAAAGAACACTTCTCGTAAGATTGCTCACTTGACTATCACAGCCTTGTAAGAACACCTGACTACTATCCTTTTCAGAGGTGAGGACACTGAGACCCAGATGTATAAAACATTCTACAAGGTCATGTGGGCATCTCCTGAATTTCCCTCACTTCAACAGTCCCCAGAACGATACAGTATGCAAGATAGGCATTTTACAGATAAGGCAACCGAGCCTCTGAATAAAGCAAGGAACAGCCACATGCTGGGGGAGGCTTTCTGTGAGGGAAATTCCTGTTTGTTCCCTCCTACCCCTTTCTGCACCACTGCTTCTCCTTTGTTAAATCCAAGTCAGACCCTGGATATCTGAGATGAAATAGGATCCTCTAGGCAGCGTTTCCCAGACACTTGGTCTCATTCTTTGCATCTGGAGGCTGTACTATGATCACACTCCATTTCCCTGCCAGTTTATACTGGACACGATCTCCTGGCATGAGGCTAACTGCTTGGTGGCTGGGCACGCCTCCCCCAGCCCTTTATAAGCTGGGTTGTGAGCTCTTGCACATTTTAATGGAAGGGGCCGGAACCAGGTGACCTTGATGTTTATGGGGTGCTAACTGATGGTAACACAGAGGGGCCTATTTGACTAAGGGTAAAAAACACCAATGCATGATGGGAGAGGAAAACCGACAGGCTGCTTTACCATGTGATTTCAGGTTGTAGTCCTCATTTTTTCCCCCCACCAAATACTTTGATTTATTATTTTTGTCCTTGAAATAAAAGGCACTGCTTCATTTTTCCTTCCCAGATTCTGCGTTGACATTAAAGCAGCTATAATGTCGCAGAGTGGTTGGTGAGATCCAAACAGGATGGTGCTATGCAACGTGTTTGACAGCTCGTGTGCCTTTTACGTAATGGAAATGGTCCTTTGTGAAATCTGGGTGACAGCTCCTCTCTAACTTTCGGGTTTCCTTCTCTGTAACCAGGGCTGACATCAACCACTTCAGGGGGTTGTTGTCAGAATCTCTCTTATTTGGTTGATTTCCTGGGTGCAAGTCTTACAGTGGGCACTGAGGATTCAAATGGTGATGACCCACACAATGCTTTCCTGACCTGAAGGAGTTGAAATTCTAGCATGGCAGATGGACATAACCTAAATCTATTAAATTGAGTGAGCTAGCATGAGCAAGAGTATCAATTCTAGTATAGTACCTGGCACATGGTCAGAATAGAATAAATTCCACATGAGCATGTTTTTATTAAAAAGGAGATGCGATGTAGTAGCAAGCACATGAGCTCAGAGTGAAATCTGACTTTTGCAACACACCAGTCCCATAGAGCACTTGGTAATTACTAGTTGACTTGCATATGATCAAGTCGGAGCTTTCTGACTGAATGCTGGAGGGCTGGGGTCAGGGAGGAATCTTGAGGTACCACAGGATAGAACTGGCTTCATATTTGGCTCCCCAACTTCCTAAATGTAAGTCCTTGGGAAGTAATAATGATTCTCCCATTACCATAAAGTGGATGGTGATAACTCAAGGGGATGGTATATTTGAAAAACTGTGTAAACTATGTTGTGTTTGTGGCTGATTAATGAAGACCTAAAACATACTGTCTTAGCAGAGTTCCAAGTCACCTAGCAAAGGAGTGGCTTCCAGAAGAGCAAAATGCCTTTCTATAGCAGCCTCAGACTTTGGATATGAACCTCCTATTCAGGTCACTCGGCAGGCATCATTGCCCAACATTCTCAAAACTTAACCATTCCTATTTATAACCTGAGATTCATCTTGAAATCAGGTGAAAATCTCCAACTGTCCTGAAGTTCTTACTCTACGCTTATAAAGTTCTTTCATGAACTAGACAGGGCCTTGCAGATGTACTGACCAGGCCCAAGAATATAGTAGCTCTTCTCTGACAGGAAGTCAAACCCAAGTGCTTCCCCTGCTTGCCTACCTGTCTCACTGGCATGGGTTATCTTTCCTCTAGATTGGAAGCCTACTTGGTGGCAGGGCCCAGTTGTTTATCCCTCAAGGCTTCCTGACTCTAGCTCAGTGTGACACAGTGTGCCTTTCAAAAAATATTTGTTGAAAGAGCAGATAGATGTTTTTAAAGTTCCATGGAAGAGGTGTATGTCAGTTGGCTCAATTTCATTTCAGTGCCATATTGTACCAAAGTTATTTTGTCAAATACATCCACATAGAGGTTCAGTCTCTGTGGCATCTAAGCTTTTCAGACACTCATCTTTTCCAGTCTCTGAGTGTGAACTGTGTAATTAAAAAAGTCTCAGTTCTTATATGTCTTCCTTCATGCCATGGCCTGAGCTGCACCTGTTATCTTTCTATGACATGGAAGGATGTGAACACATGAGAAAAAAAGTATATAAGGTTTGGTCATTGGTAATTATGTCAAAAAGTGAGTATGTCAGGAAAAGCTGCCCCAGGCTCTTCTCATTAAATGTTAATCCCCATACAAGCCCAGATGAAGCCTGGGACCTATCACAGCTATGTTTTAATTTGTCTGGACTTACTTTCCAATCCTGTTCATTAAAACAGCTGGTAGGGGAAGGTGTGTTTTTCCCCTAAAGGGAGAGATTTATGCATAATATTCCCTTAAAATTTCTTCTGCTTAGAAAGATGCTCAAAAGTGACACAAGTAGGGAGTAGAGGGGCCTCACCTAAGGAGTATACACTTTCTAGCTGAGCAAGGAACAGGGGCAGCTGAAGATGTTTTTAAAATTGCAGGAATGTGGAAAGAGGGTCTGGGCCCCACGTGACCTCCTGGAAATTCTTCTCAAGTCTGTATTTAGCACTAAAAAGGAGTAACAAGTAAAATTATCCTATATTGTTTAGGTCTCAAGAAATTTAATAGAGTGTTTAACGATGTAAAATGATTCCTGTGAGCATTTTTTTGTTTCAACACTAGTCTTCTGAAATCCTGGTGGACTTAAAAGTCCTAGCGACATTAGCCAGCATTTGAGACAAAATAAGGAGGGAATGAAGTGTGTGCAATGTTCAGAACTGGTGGTGGTGGCACATGTGACAGCCCTGCAATGACTGTATTTTGCTCCTGTATTACAGTTGAGGAAACAGCTTGGAGGAATGAAGTGACTGGCTCAAAGGTACTTAGCTAGAATGAGAGGTGACTCTGATTAACATAGCTTTTTTTGTCTGTCAGTTGTGGGATCAGGTTTAGGCAAAACCTCAGATGTAATCTGACAGTCTTCCCTGACTGCTGCTTGTATATTAGATCATTGCCTGTGTTAGACTAGAGTCTCTGAAATTGGAGTCTGAGTCTCCTTCTTCATCCCAACATAATGCCTATTAGATCGAGCCCTTTCCTTTTGTTGATTTCTCTGTTTATCTTTTTGCCTGTCTATCAGTCTGTCCACTGGATTGCTCCATCATCTAAACAGCTATCCAACGTACCAGGCTACCTCACTGTCGATCCATCTACCCAACTATGTAACCTCAGTGAGTTACTTTGTCTCTGTGCCTCAGCTTTCTCACCTGCAAAACAGGTATAGATACTGACATCTCAGGCTTATGTGGAATGTATATCTTCCATGAGCAAACATCTGTTATGGTAAGTAGATCCTTTGTATCCACAGGTCTGTGGTTCCAAGAGACTGCCATTGAGGAAAAACTGAGTGCTCAGGAAGCATAGAGTTTAAACACAACTGACAGTAATGTAGGGCTGACTGAGAGCTTCTCCACATCACCTGAGCTGTGCAGTGTACATGTAGGATTCTGTTTTTTAACCTTACTCAGTCAAAACCATGTATAATAAATCTGCAAATAAAGTGGGGTTTACTGTATATGGCAATTACATCATGTTTGTGTGCTGGAAAGAGCCAGGGAGAGAGAGGGTTTGAAGATACAGGGAGAGCAAGGGGCTGATGTTCCACTGAGGTGCCTCTCAATAATTGGGGAGGATCGGATCCAAAGCAAAATTGGAACAGGCTTAGTGGGTAGTGTATTCCCTGGGGAGAGGGATACTGGCAGAGAGACCTGTGAGGCCCAGACTGTGTAAAGATCAGCCAGAGTAATGGGGTGACCTCAGTGTTCTCAGCAAGGTAGGAGAAAGGAATCTCTGAGAGCAGAGCTGCCAGGAGAACTGCAGCTGGGTGGGCCTAGGAGAGGTTACAGATTATGAGTGTCCTGTGATGGTGCTGGTGGAGCTCAGAAGTCCAGTGGGAAGTGGCTGGGGTGATTCTAGGTGTTGCAAGCTCGATGTGGAACAAAGAGAGACAAGGGAGCTGCAAGGGATGAAGAAAGGCAGCTGGGGGTCAAGGACTCTGGGAAGAGTGGAAACTGAAGGAAGGCAAGCCAAGAGAGCTGATCCGGGGCAGGAAGTGGCTGGTTCTGTCCTTGGAGACTCCCTGTGGGTAGTATAGAATCAAAGGAGAAAAAGATGAGGAGACTCAGAGCAGCAGGTTTTGCGATTAGAGTATGAGAGGCACCTCAGAGATTCTCTGGCCATTCCATAGACCAGAAAATGAGGTCCGGAGAAAGGAAGTGCCTTGACCTATTCCATGTAGAGGCCTGCAGGTCAGTACTTGAGGAAGAACTTGCTATGTACCTTAGAAAAATAGTCAGAGGAGGAGCCAGTTAGGCAAACGGCTACGAGAGATATGGATGCACTTTGTGGTTCCTCCTCTGTGCTTCTGCACATGCTATTTCCATAGGCCCTCCTTTGCTCCATGTTCAAGGGTGAATGTGTTTTCAGCCTTGGCTCTAGTGCAACCTCCTCCTTGAGATCCCCTCCCTTTGTCCCAGCTGGAAGGGGTTTCACCTTCTCCTGCCTTCCCAAAGCATTTCTTTGCTGATAATTTTCTCAGGGTTATTAGTCTACCTGCATTGCCCTGAGGACCCTGCCATAACAGAGTAAT